GAGAAAATTATAAGTGTTGAAAACTAATGCTAGAAAACAAAAATTGAAAATTAAACTGGTTTTGAAGTTTTTAATCAGAGGCACATAGCTTTTAAATTTTTTAAAGCTTTGGGAACAATCAGCAATGTTGTATTCCACAATTTCAACTCAAAAAATTGACTGTTCCAAGAACACTTTGAGAATGCAATTTTTCTTGCAGTTATCAAAGAAACTACGCAGCTGATTACTCTGTCTTTCTACGTGCCACTTGTTCTGCAGACGCAAAAAAACCGCTTTAAAAGACAAAATGAGCTAAGTGAGGTAACAGTTACGAAACAATATTTACAAAAATTAACACTTGATGGAGGAAAAAGAACAAAATCTACGACTCAAAAGTTTTTTAGTGTAGTTTATCCAGTTTTAAACTGCGCAGGTGTTACACTGCAGAAATTAGGTAGGTTTACTAAGCGTAAAATACTGTGTAATTTCAGAATGAAAAAAATAAAGGGTTTCTGATAAATTTTTTGAATTCGTCGAATACTAAGCAACCTGAAGCGCAGTACGCGATTCTGTATTACACTGCAAATGCCACACTTACCAAAGAACTCAATTACAGTACCGCAATAGCCCAGGTCAACGAAGTGTTCGAAAAACGAAGCTCTCAGCAACCGAATTTTACAAGGTAAAATAAAGCATCTCTTCTATTCTGATTACTTCCACAGCTGTAGCTATTCCATACTGTCGAAATTAAAAAAAAAACTAGCTTCAGCTATAAGCTTTTTTATCCAGTGTTTCTTCAAATAACAAAGTTTTTAAATTGTTCTAAATACAATTTATTATAGTGTTATTTACTCCAAAGTAACAATTCAGTTATAAATAAGGCAGAAAAGAACAAAATAAACTAAAATTTTCTGCGCAAGCGATAGCAAAAAAGCAAAACTTTTTTTGTAATCTACAGTTTAATAAACAATCCTTTTCTGTGACGCTTAGAGTTTTTATGTCGCCGGTTTTGCAACTTAAACCTACATAAAGTAAACTTCTTTTAAAAATACAATAAGCCAGATACGTATCAATAAAAAAAGATCTTGAGAAAGAAGAACTAGAATTTAGAATTCCTATCACAAAAAATTACCTATTGACAACCATAAGAAACCTGCTCAAGCCACTGTCAAAAACTTTGGGTGTTCTTACCAGCTCAATGCAAAAGACGGCTGAACTTAACAAATTAAAAAACGCTTTATTGACACTTCAGAAAAATTTTTTATTAAGCAAAAATTATCTCATTTTAAACAAAATTTAATCAGAGTGCGCGATTTCGCGTTATACTACATATAAGTATAAATAAAAATATAATTTTTTAATATAAATATAAATGTAGATATAAATATAAATACAAATATAAATAAATAAGCAAACAAGTTTATGTATCTTTATTTATCTATTTATTGTATTTGAAATCAAGCTGCGTAGCCAATCTTCAACAAAATCTGATAATTTTTAACTTCGCAAAGGTGTCATATTCTAATGCTTGTTAAATAGTCCAATTCTGCTGGAAAATTCAACAGATACAGCAAAAACCATATTTTAAACAGACAATCATGTATTTCTGAACTCCCTAAAAAAATCATTTTTTTGGAAACTTTGACGGGGGTGATTCCGTAGCGGCGAACACATCTTTGCAGGTTCTTCCCAGCCTTCTGTGCACAGTACCAGACTCTACTAAAAACAAGCATTCCAAAAATTTTGAAGATATAAGAGGAAAAGTAAACCACTTAGCGTGGAATGCCTCACTTGTATAATATATATAATATAATATCGTCTTTCAAACAAGCTGAAATTTCCAATTTTTCGTAAAGTACATTAGCTATTCTGATTAAATATTCCTTAAAACATATCTCATTTAAATGTTCCTTATGCAAAAAGAAAACAAAACAAACTTTTCAGGTAACCACTAAAACCATTTTCACACCATTCCTGCACACCAGTTTTTTTGTGTGTCTTTAAACTTATCAAATAAAACACCTATTGCAGTGCGCTACAACTGTACAACAATTTCTTTAAATCTCCAGAGGCATACGGAAAGTCCCTGACGCTTATCAACATTCCTCCAAAAAGTAGCGCATACAGGTAAGAATAAAAGTAAATTATAAACTTTTGTCGTCAAAACCTACCGCGATAGCCACTTCTAAATAATTTATTCTATCAATACGTCGCCAAAATCTCGTCGTCCACGTTTTCCAACAAAATTACTCGCACAAACGCACTAACAATTAATGAAGTAACCTTCAGCAACAATGAGACTTATATGAGAGAACTGCTCAACGCAAAAGCAATAATTGCTGTCATCACAAATAACTCAGACAGCGACAAAACACTCTCTAATGTTATACTCAGCACGTCAGAGGAAACAAACAACGTATTTCGAGACAGTGAGCTGGCAGAAACTACTGTAATCGAATTCAAAAATTCTACAATTGAGACAGCTGTAAATGACGCAGAAAATGCAATCGGTAAGTCATCTCTTCGTTGTACAAACAAATAACACAGAAATTAAAAAATGGAAATTACGAAACACGTCAGGAAACTGCGTGAAAATCTGAGAAAGGCAACGATTGAGATGTTTGAGAAAAAAGAAATAAAACGATGTACTTCTAGCAAGCAAAACACCATCCCATTTCATAACAGAAACAGAGGCATACTAGAAAACGCGCGAGCATACAACTAACAGCAGCACTAGAGCACTAAAACACGGTAACGTACAAAATTGAGCACTTAACAGCGGAACCCTAACAGTCGAAAGATTTTTAAACACCCTAACACTCCCCAGAAAACTGAAAAAAGCTTTTAGAAAACAACAAGATACTACAAGAAACAATTAAGGAAAGAGAAAAACAGCCGCACAAAAATCTAATCAATTACAAGCTACAAATCCAAAAAAAAAGACAAACTACCAAAAAAAACCTATTTCAGCACCCGTCAAAAACTACACAGAATCACCAACAACTTCCACATGGCCTACAACATCGACAGTAACACCAACCAGAACCCATTCTGAATACATCAGTACAACAACTAGCGTCACCAGGGCAACAACTACAACAACCTTCAAAACAACATCCGGTCTTTTCAATGTAACAACTACGACGGGATCCACAACAACATCTGGTTCTTCCAGCGTGACAACTACAACAGGAGCCATAACAACATCTGGTCCGTCTAGCGTAACAGCTACAACAGGACCCTCAACAACATCTGGTCCTTCAAGCGTAACAACTACCATACGACCGACAACAACATCTGGTCTTTCCAGTGTAACAACCACAACAGGAGCTACAACAACATCTG